AAAGGCAATTTTATAACGCCAGCCAAACACAGCTGTTGTAGGGAAATGTTATTGCTTCCTATGGCTGTACTTCTCACAGATTTGCATCCATCTCAGTGCTAATTCCTAAGACTACTGTGTATATTACACTTATAGCCTGCACAGCAACACACATATATTATTTTAATTAGCAGGAGAGTACATAGACAAATGATATGCAACCAGATTTTACCCATCATCAGTCAGACAACTTCTAGCCGCTACACTCCCACTGCCAAAGTCAATCCAACAATGCCTCCCTGCCATCATCCGGCCTACTACTCATATCCAAGGTCTTAAGAACTGACGTTAAAGGGAATGTTTGTCTTTTATTCCAGTATGTAGACTCCAGGATGTGATACAACGATCAGATAAAGTCAATTAACATTTTTTACTGCAATATACAGACGCATAAAAATTACATTTTTTGTGTTGTGATGTTGGATAGTTTGTTCCACCCTGTGAGGCGGGTAGTTACTTTGTCTCTGTGTAAAATGGAAAAAAAATAATTTATAAAACCTAAAATGAAAAAGAAACAAAAAACATTTTCTACTGCAATATACAGACACATAATAAAATGGAACAGAGACTAAAGATATAGAAATTTTATGATTTAAGGAAAATGAGAAAATATACTTTTATTGTATGCACGTCTACCCATGAACACAGAACGTTTTATACACCATTAGAGGCATTTTGCTTTTTTTTTTTTTTTTCTGCCTCTACACACCCCAAAAAAGGAGAGATTCAAAAGTGTTAAGTAACAAACGGGTAAAAAAAAAAAAATTAAAAAATAAACTAAAGCTGGCCATAGAACTGGCCAGTTCAGCCGGGACCAGCTGAATTTCAGTTAGTGTGTGGCCATCCCTGTGCAGCATAAGTTGAACAACAAAAGTTTTCCAACATTCCCATTCAACAGAAATTGATCTTTAGACTGACTTCTGTCAAACAGGGAGGGACATGTGTAGTTTGAAATTCAGCTGGTCCCTACTGAATTGGCTGAATCTCAATTCAACTATGGTTAGCTTTAGTTTTTTTGGTCAGCTCACTGGCTGAAAGAAAAAAAAAAAAAAAACCCCCATCTATGGCCATTTTTTGTAAAAGAAATACAAAAATTTATTTTAGATTTTAGGGCACACAAATGCAAAATAGTAAAATTTAGCAAAACAATGCATGCTAGTATGCACTATTCCATTAAAGCAGCCAACAAAAAGAACAATACATGTAATTTGTATTCAAATCACAAAGTAAATTAAAGTAGACACAAAGGTTTGATGAAAAGAATGTACAGTGGGGATCGAAAGTTTGGGCACCCCAGCTAAAAATTTGTATTAATGTGCATAAAGAAGCCAAAGAAAGATTTCTTAATTACATTCCAAACACAGGATATTGACATCTGAAAACGCTTGGCTGGCTACAAAAAGTGTTTACAAGCTGTGATACTTGCCAAAGGGGGCAGTACAAGATATTAACTCTGCAGGGTGCCCAAACTTTTGCAGACGCCATTTTTTTGTTTTCTGTTATTTTGAAAGTGTAAATGATGGAAATAAAATCTAACTTTTGTTGACATATTATAAGAATCTCTAATCTGTAATTTGATGCCTTTTGGAGATTTTTCCATCTTTCCTTGGCTTCTTTATGCACATTAATACAAATTTTTAGCTGGGATGCCCAAACTTTCGATCCCCACTGTATATAATAGTCAAATTTTTTGCAGCTTTGCATGACCGCGCCATTGTCAGTTAAAGTAACGCAGTGCCGTATCACAAAAAAATGGCCTGGTCAGGAAGGGGGGTAAATCCTCTGGAGGGCAAGGGGTTACTTTATTTCCACTTCTGCAGTCCAATTGGGATAACACTTGTTTTATATTTGTTATGTAGTCTCATACACACAGCATAACAAAAAAAAAAAAAAATGCAGCTTACTGGTTTAGGTTTGGTATTCTGGATCCTCCAGCAGTAAAAAAAAAATTCTACATAGCTCTCTGTTTATGGGGGGGGGGGGGGCTTTGTTTACCATTATTAACCCCGTCCATAACATGCAAGCTGATCTTTATTATTAAGGTGTGTAGAGGCTGGGCTTCTCACATTGTATGTTATTAAGGACAGACTCACTACCATTGTTCAAAAATCTGCAATGTCACCTTCTCCTATGTCTAAAAAAAAAAAAATTAGTACGGTTTTATTTATTTTTTCATGCGATGTGAATGGGAATACAGAACAAACATTCTACTGCAAAAGTGGAAATATGCTTTAAAGAACTTTACCGATAACAACATGATAAAAATAATGTTCTTTAGCAATATACATTCCACATTATTAATTCTGCTACCAAAATTAGCGTGTGCTGCAAATTGCCTCCAGCATTGTTCCTGTTTCTTCTTGCTGGAGATGGCCATTTTGCTGAAGCCAAGAGCCCCTGAGCAGTAGTAAATCTTTAGGATGGCAGTAGATCGGCCACTACAAATTTAGCACAATGCCTTAAAAAAACAAAAAAAAAGAGCAACTGAGCATGTGCAGGGTGAGACAGTGTATTACTGTATTTTAAATAGTATAGGCACTGGTTTTTAATATTTTACATAGCTATACCTGCATAGATGCCAGTATGAAGTGATCTAGCAGAGCAGGGCCCTCGATCCCCTCATGTTTTGCATTGTATTGTTATTGTTCTGTCACATGTTCTGTCCCCCTTTGTAATGTACAGCGCTGAGTGAACTATTGGCGCTTTATTATTATTATACAGTATTTATAATCTAGCAGGACTAAAGTTCCACTTTAAGGTAGAAATTGTGATGGGGGTTTCTGAATATGGACATTTGTTGTCAATTCTTAAATTTTGTTAGAACTACCATGTTGTGGGTCAGTTGAGGCATCTTTTATATGTGAAAGCTTTTTTAACCACTTGCCCTCCTGAGGATTTACCCCCCCCCTGACCAATTTTTTGCGTTACGGCGCTGCGTTACTTTTACTGACAATTGCGCGGTCACGCAACACTGCACCCAAATTTACATGCTTTTTTTCCATGAATAGAGCTTTATTTTGGTAGTATTTGATCACCTGTGCGGTTATTTTTTGCACTCTAAAAAAAAAAAAAAAAAAAAAACAATTTTGAGAAAAATATTTTTGACTTTTTTGATATAAACCATATCCAGCAAAAAAATTTATAAAAAAACAAATGTCATAAATGTAGGCCAAAACATATTCTGCTACTTGTCTTTGCTAAAAAAAAAATAAAAAAGAATAAAAAAAAATACCAATACGTGTAAATTAATTGGTTTACGTGAAAGTTATAGCGTTTACAAATGGCGGTATATATTCTGGGCTTTTTTTTTTTTTAACTTTTACCAATAATGGTGGAGATCATGAACTTATAGCAGGACTGCAGTGGGCATTCTGACACTGGGGGGCAACTGACTTGGTGTCACGGACATCCCCAGTGATACCAATACAGTGATCAGTGCTGCTAACAAGCACTGAACACTGTACTAATGGCACTGGGCAGGAAGGGGTTAGCTGTGTGCTGTTTTACTGTGGGCTGTGTTAGTGCTTTCCACTGTAAGCACACTGCTTTGCATGGCTCTGCTCAGCCATGCATAGCAGTGTGCAGGAGCTGACAGGGGAGACATCTGTATTGTTTACATACAGTTCTCTCCCTCTGTCAGTAATGCTCCTCAATCACCGGGTGTCGGCGAGTAATCACCGGCCGGGACCCGGTGATTGACAGCCAAGGCTGCGAATAGGGCATGCGTGCCCCCTACCCGGAAATGCGAAATCACATTTTTTATATATATATATATATATATATATATATATATATATATATATATATATATATATATATATATATATATATATATATATATATTATACTATACACACACGTGATTTTGTGCACCCCTGCCACCATGTAGCAGTATTTCTGCTATAGGGCGGCAGGAAAGCGGTTAAAGAGTAACTCCACTTTTGTTGAGAAATAAAAAACCCTCCTCTCTAGGGGATCCATGTACATTGCATGAAGTTTAAACAAACTAAATAGCAAATTCTTACCTGTGTTTGCCTTGAAGAAATAGCGGTTTGTTTGATCATGTCCTGTTCGGGCTAATTCTGAATGGAAGGGTCTGGTTCATTATAATCACCTGGTGCACTTTCATTGTTTTAATGCAGTATCTGCATCCATTTAGAGGTATGTAATCCTTAGGGAGTATTTTAACAAAAATTACTTTTCCGTTGCAGAAGTTGTCTAAAATTTGATTTAGAGCAAACTTCTGGGAAAATTAGAGAGCCAATCACACAAGCAGGAAATTACATTTTTAAAAAGAAGTGTTCTGTACACCAAGAATGTACAGAATGACTCCAGATTGCCATATTGCATTGGATTTTACATAAAGTTACAGCAGCTGAAGATTGAAATGAAGTGGTATATACCAATGTTAAATGACAATATGACTTGTGCCGTAGCTGTATAGGCTATATTGTTTGCCATTTTTCTTTTTTTTTTTTTTTTTTTACAAAAACTGGTGTTACCTTTTAAGTATTAATTTGATATTGTACCTACCCTTTTGGACCTTAGAGGGTGAGCCCCAGCAGTAGCTGCTAAATTATGAGCGAATACACTAAAAGATACATTTTCTCATTTTACTCAGATTGTACTTCAAGAAATGGCTTTTATTTTTAATCTCTATGTTTCAATTCATGAGAAATAAGCCGCTTGGTCTGACACAATAAAAAACACATTTACCATAAAGAAGACTCCGGTTTATTGTTTCCTTACAGAAATATAAAAGGTTTATATATTGGGAACTTAATTCTGTACATAAAACCAAAGCCTTTTCTAATTACTTGTGCTCTCTATTTCACGTTTAAAAATTTTGTAAAAAAAAAAAAAAAATTATATATACACATATATACATACACACGCACATACATACATGCACATACACACAGAGACACAGACGTGGTAATAAAAACCGTATAGTGTCCAGTTCACCTTCTCATGTACCCTGAAACAACATGATCATCCAAATCACAATCATTATTATCGGAGAGGTCCTCTTCATAATTATCACTGCCGTACTCAACTGCAGTTGGTTGCAATTCTACTAATACACTGGCTGTACATGCTGGGATGTCCCCATTGAGTGAGAGCCCTTGTCCTGAGTTCATATCTGGTTCTTCAGTTGGCTCCACTTCCAAAGTTCCTCTATTTTGCAGGCCTGTCCACATATTTACTGAATTTCCCATACATATGGAGTTTAAGTTGACATTGAAGACCCCACGGTTGTCAAACGGGAGGTCTGAAGGTGACTCTAAGGCATTGGTTGGTATTGGTGGGACGCTCCCAGATGAATCTGTGATGACGTCTAAGCTTACTGGGTGTGTTGTGGAGATTCTCTCTTCATCTGAGGATCCGGTCATCTGACCACTGGACTCCAAGGACGAAGAATTACTTGAAAGTATAGGACCACTGCTGTCTCCTGCACTGGTGTCACTGTCCAAAAGTCTTTTTCTGCTGGCATAGCCCCCTTCTTTGTACTTGTCTTCCTTTTCTTGGCTTTTCTCCACCTCTAGATCTTGAATTACTACTTCCACTGGTACAATGTATGCCGGAGAAGTGCATTCATTACTTTCACTGTATCTACTCTCCGACTGGGGCAAGGATTTCTTAAAGTGGAAAAAAAAAGTGGCAGTGTTAAACATAATACAGGTCTATGATGACAAAGCAAAATTCTATTTAAACCCTTGACACCCAACTTTCGGGGCTTTGGTGAGGTCAGAGGGCCGCACATTCTATACCAGTCTGTTGTGGGAACATTGATTAGGATAATAGAATGGATCTCTACTAAGCTCAGGTAACATGTTCCCACTTTCGTAATGTCTTCTGCAACATGTGCCCAGCCAAAAATGTATCCTGTCTACACTCTCTGACCCTCATTTCCTCTATTAGATCTGCAGATTCTGAGTGTCCTCTCAAGCATTACATATATTGAACATTATGTGCAGCCATTTGGCGATGTCAGGGGCCGCATGTGATTTCATAGGTTGACAACCACTGATCTAAGCAGTTAAAGTGGTTGTAAACCTCAGACATGAAATCTGAACAAAGCACAGATTTCTATAGTCTTTACATGCCTCCCCAAAGCACTAGGGGGGGTGATTTACTAAAACTGGAGAGTGCATAATCAGGTGCAGCTCTGCACAGAAACCAATCAGCTTCCAGGTTTTATTGTCAAATCTTACCTGCACAACCTGAAGTTAGAAACCATACATAGCTGCACTGGATTATAAATGCACTGGTTATAGTAAATCTTCCCCACCGTGTCATTTCTCCTTGTGGTCTAGTTCCTGTAATCTGCATGAGTCACTTCTGACACCAAGAGTAAAAAGATGACAGGGAAGGGATCTCCAACACACAAACTGTGATTGACAGCCTCAGCTCAATTTCTGTGTGAAGGAGAGTGTGTCCTTTCCCTCCAATCAGCTCTCTCAGCAGTACGGTGTGTAACTGCAGCTCCTCGCCCCATGCTTTGTAAGTCTGTGAAAAATCCTTTTACATCTCTGGGTTTTACTAGGAGAAATATCTAAGATAAACAGGTACAACTTACACAGATGTAACAAATCATCCTGCATATCACAGGAGGAAAGTCATTTCACTGGGTATAGGTAATGGTTTACAACCACATTAAATGCAAGACTGCATTATCTTTATCACGGTTTACTCAGTTTTATGATCCACACAATAGTTGGAAGCAATTTGCTCATTCAGGAATAATAATAGGTACTATATACTGTGGTATCCAGTTTACAGTCCTCCAATATCCCCAAACCTCTCCGATTCTCTGCCTTTAGAGGTTTTTGTGAAATATAGGAGAGAGCTGAATAGGAGAATATAAGAAAAGAGAATTTAAGAAATGACTGGCGTTCTTCATCCATCCTTAGTACTAAGCAAATGGTAATTAGTATGAAGGCTGCTTTTGGTTGTACAAAGTTCTACTTAAGTAATATTATGAAATGATTTAAACCCAGTAATAATATATTGCAGCTTACCAGTCCTCAGATGTGCTGGCTGAATTGCTTTTTTCAGGCCAATTACCTTTATTTTCACCCTGTGGTCCTGTCAGTAAAACACTTCCTGTCAACAGGGTGACAACACTCACTCACCATACCATATCCATGGAGAGGCTGCGTTGCCACCCTAGGACAGGAAGTGTGCCAAGACTATAGTATATAATGGAAGGCAAGGGTTCTGTCATCCTCATCTGCAAACAATATAATGGTTAAGAATGCAGCTTGGGCAAGCAGCAAAAAGACATTGTCAGTCAACAAGATTTCTGAAAGGATCAATCTTAGGGTCCATGCACACTGGGCATAAAAAAAAAAAAAAAAAAAAAAGTCACTTCTAGAAGTGTTTGGCGTTTTATTTTTCCTTCCTCCAAACGCCTCTCCATGTTAGTCTATAGCCTCAAAACACACAATGAGAATATGGGACTAATGATCGTCCGTTATTATTTCTGCATGCTAGTCTCATATCTAAAATGAAGCGGTTACTAAAGTTAGAAAAATCATCGTATGACAGAATACAACTTCAGAAGTGATGTAATGTAATGCGTTGTGTCGTAATGTACTCTTTAGTTTCTGAGCATGCACAGTCTTGATCACTCGATTGTTTTCAGATGAATACTGATGAACTCCTCAGTCACAACGGGTGCGACTTGGCATGAGGTTTGCATGCCATGCGACTTGCAAATCGTATGCCAAGTTGCACCCTATTGTCCGCTATTAGAGTGGGCATGTCTTGTTTTTCAAAATAAAGCATGGAGACATGGATGGGGGGGGGGGGGGGGGGAGTTTCTTTTAAATATTGAAATTGAATTACGCCCCCCCCCCCCCCCCCCCCCCCCCCCCCCCCCCCCGTCACATCAAAGCCAATTTGGAAAGTGTGCGACTTACAGTGAAGTCGCACGATTTCAAAATCGGGTGACCTGCCAATTTCATTGCGATTTGCAAGACATCTGACACAGATGTCTGTGCAAATGACAACAAAAGTATTGCATGTACTACTTTAGAAATCGGTACCGCTCCGTCCAAGTCAGAATCGCACCGATTTCTAAAGTAGTACATGCACTAATTTTGGTGCGATTTGCATAGACATCTGTGTCAGATATCTTGCAAATCGCATCTCAAATCGTCAAGTCACACAACTTTGAAATTGTGTGACTTCACTGTAAGTCGCACGATTTCAAAATCGGCTTTGATGTGACCGGGGTATAAATGAAAATCGCTTGTTCAGGTATCGTATGAGAAAAATTTTCTTGCTTGTCCCTTCAATAGTACACAGCTTTCAAGAGCCGATCACGACAGTTCATGCAAAATTAACAATCAGATTATCAGACCATCGCTCCCAAAGAGGTATTTTTTGTCTGATTTTCTCATTGTGTGTTCTAGGCTTATAGCATATAGATGTTTAGAGGCATTTAGAGGCAGGGGCATATGGAGGCAGAAAAAAACCCTTTCCTTCCGTGTTCAGGAGAGCAGCATTTTGGCGCAAAAAAATGTGTCAAAACGCACGTAAATGTGCCTAACCACTCGGCGAGTTTAGCGTTTGGGCATTTTTTCCCCATCAATGGCCAGAATAAATTAATATTCTGACCATTGAGGGAAAAAAATGGCCTAAACATGCCCAGTGCTTAGGCGGGTTTACGTGCGTTTTGAAATGAAGAAACGCCCAAGCGCTTAACATGCATAAATGCATCTAAACACGTTTAAAAAAAATGGGGCTTAAGCGCATTTTTGTCAGCTGCGTTTCTCCTGCCAGAAGAAAAGTGTTTAGGAGAGTGCCAGTGTGCATGGATGCTTAGAACAGTGGTAACTAAGCACTCTCATTGGTCTATTTACCAGACCAAGATGGGCCGATTAAGAGACGTTCAATGGGGATTACATGTCCTTTAGAAGTTTTATACACACCAGGCATGGACTGGTGGGCTGCATGTCCCACTTTTGCAGCAAAAGTGAGTCTTCCAGACTAAATGTACATACAGTAGACAGTTACCAAGTCTGCCCTCTAACAATATTTCATGTATAATAGATTCATAATATAATAAAGAATAAGCAGTGCCCTCCCTCTAAATGTTTTATGTTTAGTTATTTCTATTATTTTGTCAAAGTCCTCGGCTAGCAAGGTAACCATCCCACATGCTGCTCCAAGGCCAAACACTTCAAAGTGAACTAATTGGACTAAGCTACAGCTGGAGGCTCCTTATCTTCTGGGAACAAAGAGTCTCTCATCACAAAAATCATTTAATGCAAGGCTGAGCCTGAGATAACATATGCATCCTCTCCCCCACCCCACATACAATATTCCTTAATGAGAACCTGGAGAATGATGAAGGTTTTCACTGGGGGTTCAGATAAGTCTCTGCTGCTGGTTCTCCCTACCCTAGAATAGATAGTAAAAATAAATAATGTATTATCCAGGAGGTCAAGCTACAAAGGTCTATGCTGAAAGGAAAAATAAAGTTCTACACTAGGGCTTATGGGTTTTCTGTAAGGGGGGACCATTCCGCAATGAGCATTTGTAAATGGCTAAAACTCCACATTTAAGGGGACAATTCCATTTACATGAATCTTGAATGAGTAAGTCTTACTACAGAATAAGACATTGATACCAGAAAGTGTCAGTTTCATAGTCCCTCCAATAAGCTCCATGGTTTGATCCACCAACCCCTACTATGTCCTGGGGTGACATAGGAACTGGCAGAAGAAAACCACAGCATCAGGGAACAAATAGATAGACAATCCAAAAATGTTGTACACTGTAGGATCTTCAGTACTGTGGAGATCAGAACTTTTGTCCAGAGCAGCGTGGAGCCAAAACTACAGAATAAAAGGAATAAAAAAAGACAAACAAAAGAATCCAGCTCACTATAAGGCTTCATGCACACGGGATGTTTTAAAAACACTCCTTCTCTTGGCTCTTGTCAAAGTGTCTAATGCTTTTAGAAGCGTTTAGGCGCCCTTACAGGTGTCACGTACCTGTACGTTAATTCATTTCATTGGCCAGATTAATAATTTATTCTGGCCATTGAAATGAATTAACGCTCAAAACGCTAAACATGCCTAGTGTTAACGTGTTCTGGTGCATTTACACACGTCAAGCATTTTTTTCTGCCAAAACGCGCTGCTGCTGCTGGATGCATTGGCCCTGGGTTTTTTTTTCTGCTGTTAAACGCTATTGCTACTAAATGCTTCTAAAACCCTATGTGTGCAAAGACTCATAGGATAATATGGAGAGCTGTTCGGAAGCAGAATAAAAAAAAAATAAAAAAAGCCTGATGCCAGTAAAAGTGGCTGCAAAAGCCCTGTGTGCATGAGGCCTAAGGCCTCTTGCACACTACAGCTTGAAAAAACTCAGTACAGCGTTTTTTTTTTATTGGTCTAAAATGCAGCTCATTGTCTATAATACACCTGTACACACAGGTGCATAAACAAAAGCAGCGTACTATTGAGTAAAAAAAAAAAAAAAAAAAAACAAATAGAAAAATCAGCATTTTGCGCCAGTATGCACATAAATAAATAATAATGAGCATAAATAAATATTAATGAGCATAAATGTGAATGAATTTTGCATAGGAATATATTGCACGCATGAGTGTGAATATGCACATAAATATGCACAACACAAACCTCTGAAATTACGTCTAGAAATGCTGATGCTCAAACATCATTACCACGTACAAGAGGCCTAACAGGTAGAAATGGTCAGATAAAAGGCATTGAGATACGCACCAGCACTTTCGGGAAGAATTTCCTGTGCATGCCTATGTATCCAGCTTTGTCCAGTGCAAACAAACACAGTAATATTCCAAGAAACAGTAAGAAGCCGCACACCACAGGGAGAATCACATGCATTCTGTCAACTGCAACAAGAAAACATTTGGGTCACGTAAAAAGATAAAATCGCTAAAAGAAAGCTGTATGGTATTTTTAACGGTTACACATTACAATGTCTATTTGTAAAGTGTTTTCACTCAAAGATTCACACAGCTTTCACCCATTTTTCCCCCAACTGAATCCAATAAGAAAACTGTGAATCTTGGATGGAAGTTGTGTGAGGACAGTTATAAAGAGAGCCCTATCAGTCCTTATTGAAACATTTATCTAGGCCTTTTGGTTTTCATCAGTCCTAAGCCTTGTACACGAGATGAGAATATCAGATGAATGATTTTTTTTCCCGCATGTTAGTCTCATAATGAAATAGGTTACTTAGGTTATGTAAATTCTCATAGGACAGAATAGAGCTTTGGCAGTGATGTAATGTATTGTATGGTAATGTATTCTTTTGTTTCTGAGCATGCGCGGTCTTAAAGATGGCTTCAGACTTACCAACTATGGAGAGTCTTCTTATGAATTGAACATATTGGAAGATGACCGATGAACAGTCAGATTGGAAGGTAATTTTGCCCATTCAGATTTGCCTAAATTTACCCTTCACAGGTGCACAATCACCTTTCCTTCGATCCCCCACTGCTTTTTTTGCTGGCGGCAATGAAAATAAATATCTGATGCATTTAGGTACAGGAACTATGCAACTCTCCTTTTTACATGTGAAAGTGGTGGTGCTTGGTCCAGTGGTGTCACATGGGGTAAGATGAGAGTTCTCATTCCTGTGTAAGCTGTAAGTCACACCATCATAGCAGCTGAACAGAAAGGGGGGGGGAGGGGAGTGAAAAGTAGGTAACTATGCTCTGCAGGGGAGGGAGGTGGTTAACCTAGCTAAAAAGAGTAGGGAGGGGTTAACACCTTTGTCAAGTTCTTAATGCTGTCGGTGACCCCTCTGGGGAGATTCGCATTCTCAGTTTGTCCTGGTGACCAATGTCCCTAAACCAGAAAGGGAAGAAAAATATATACAAGTAAAGCCAGCTCCAGGCTCAGCCCTGAATGCCCCACCTCTTCCTCTGGAGGCCCACCCATGCTGTACCCATCTTTTTCAGAGGCCTACAGCCCACTTGATGTGCTGGATCTTCTACAGCTGCACTGTCCTCTGCTAATGCAGAAAGTAGAATGCACAGTACTGTGGTCATGATGCCCTGCAATCATGGCATGTCCTGCGTCTGATGTTCATTGTCATCCAACCCCACAGATCCAGGACATCTTGTGGCAGAAGTGTAGTGTGGGGGGGGAAGGGGGGGGGGGAAGGGGGGTGATTGGGGGGAGTAGACTAGGGAGACTTTTTTTTTTTTTTTAATCGAAATAAAGAAGGAATAAGAAAACACACTGTGGTTTGCACTTTAAGTTGTTTGTGACATTGAAATAATAGGGAAATCCTCCAGTGAGACACTTGTTCTCTTACTTTGGAGAGATCTCCTCACAACCCTCTTGTACTCACTTAGCAGGGTTGGCAAACAGGGAGAAAGGTGCTGTGACTCCCTCAGTCATGTGACAGTGCTTGGTAGTAGTGACTGGCTGCTAGGCCAGATCACTGTTACAGGAGAGGTGGTCACATGCTTTTCCAAACCCAGAACCACTAAGATTATTGGCTTCAATGGTGGGTGGAAGAGGCGTTGAGGGAGCACTGGTCAGATAAGTACAATGGGTCATAGGGCACCCACTCTGCCAAACATTAGATGCCTTGTTTCTAATTATACATGTAAGTTAGTGAGGCCATATTCACTTCTGGCACTCTTGCTTAAAGCGGAGTTCCACCCAAAAGGGGAAGTTCGGCTTTTAGCCTTTGTCCCCCGCTCCCAATTAAGGACTGGCACCTTTGGGGAGTGGGGGGGGCGATGCGTGAGTACCCAAATTTGACAGGTACCCGCTCCCACTTCCGCTGGCGATTGGAAGGGAAGTTGTTCTCCCCCCTCCCACCCCGCAGTCTTCTGGGACATGTGACAGGTCCCAGAAGACTACGGGGCCATTCACAGAGTGGCTGTATTTTAAAAGTCAGCAGCTACAGTTTTTGTAGCTGCGGACTTTTATTTTTTTTTTTCAGGTGGAACTCCACTTTAACAGTGCTCCATATGGTGGTAATTTACTGCTTTATCTCAATGTGAGTCCATGACCGAATATTCAGAATGTCTCATGAATTACTGGATACAAGTGCTTTCTCCCACCCGCTTTGCCTAGTCTAGCTCTTTGGATGTGTGCAGTATGCCCAAAACGTGAACAGGCTAACACAGTTTTCATTCTTATCTATCTGGGCTTGCCGACGCTCCCGGTTCCTCCCCCTTGCTGAGTGCCCCCATAGCAAGTCGCTTGCTATGGGGGTACTCGTAGATGCTCACTCCTGAGCCTCGCTCTGTGTGTTCATTGACGCAGAGTGCGGCTCAGCTCTCTTCCCCCCCACAGCTTCCTTCTCATTGTCTGTGATTGACATTAGTGGGAGCCAATGAAGAGGGACAAAGCCGGGAGAGCATTGCAGAGAATGCATGAACATAAAAGATAAAACCTTCAGCCTTAAGAACTATTGTGTTACTAAAGTCTGAATAAATTTTTCTAATTAAAATAACAAAAATGTGTTATACTCACTTGCTCTGTGCAATGGTATTGCACAGAGCAGCCCCGCTCCTCCTCTTCTTCTCAAGTCCCCCGCCAGCGATCTTAGCTCCTCCTTTTCGTGTGTCCCCATAACAAGTTGTTTGCTAGGGGTCACATGGTGCTTTCTTTGTCCCGACCAGTCTATGGAGCCGTGCACCACAGACACACACACAGTGGGACTTAGCCCCCCTCCAACTAGCTCTTCACTGTATTTGATTGAGAGCAACAAGAACCAATGGCTCCAGTTGCTTTTCAAGTCCGTGTGAGGAGGAATAGAGGGGAGAAAAGATGCAGCCGTGTTCAGTGCTGATCACTTCTCTCTTCTCTTCCCTGTCACAAAGGGAAGGGGGGCACAGGGAAACTGAGCAAGTAATGCATTAAGGTAAGGTTTTTATTAGGTTTATTATTATTATTATACAGTATTCATATAGCGCCAAAGGGTTTGCTCAGCGCTGTACAGTAGCAAGGGGGACAGAACATGAGACAAGACAGTAACAATATAATACACGAGGGTTTCGAGGGCCCTGCTCTTTCGAGCTTACAATCTAGGAGGGAGGGGAAGGTGGCACAGGAGGAGATGGCTGTGGGGGATGGAGTGGTGGGAGGAGTGGAGGAGGTTAGTTGTTAGGTGAGGTTGGGGTAGGCTTCCTTGAAGAGGAGGGTTTTCAGGGTGCGCCTGAAGGTGAGGAGGGTAGGTGACAGTCTGATGGATTGGGGAAGGGAGTTCCAGAGGATGGGGGAAGTCCTGGAGAAGTCCTGCAATCAGGCGTGGGAGGAGGAGACCTGGGAGCTAGAGAGTAGGAGGTCCTGTGAGGAGCGGAGGGCATGGGCATGGGTAGGGTAGTATTTGGGTATCAGGTCAGTTATGTTGTTTGGGGCGGTGTTGTGAATGGCTTTGTAGGTCATAGTTAGCAGTTTGAATTTGATGCGTTGGGCAATCGGGAGCCAATGAAGGGATTGGCAGAGGGGGGAGGCAGATGTGGAGCGGTTGGTGAGGTGGATGAGTCTAGCCGCTGAGTTTAGGATCGACTGGAGTGGGGATAGCGTTCGTTTGGGTAGGCCAGTGAGAAGGGAATTGCAATAGTCCAGGTGTGAGATGATGAGGGAGTGTACGAGTTGTTTGGTGTTGTCTGGGGTGAGGAATGTGCGTATCTTGGAAATGTTGCGGAGGTGGAGCCTGCAAGATCTAGATAGCAATTGGATGTGGGGTAGGAAGGAGAGGTGGGAGTCCAGGGTGACACCCAGGATTTTGGCGTGTGGGGTGGGAGAGATGGTGGCGTTGTTAGTAGTGATGGAGAGGATGGGGGGGGGGGGGGGGGGGGGGGGGGGGGGGGGGGAGACCAGGAGCTCGGTCTTGGATAGGTTAAGTTTGAGGAAATGGAGTGACATCCAGTCTGATATGGTTTAGTATCACTTTTAAGGGTAAAACCCCCCCCCCCAAAAAAGGCCTGATGCATTTTAGTGCAAGGTCTGCTTTAAGGGTCAGCTCACACCAGGAATCACACAGGGATGAGCATGTGTTTCTTTGCAATTTGAGCAGTGCATTTGCAGACCAATCATTTGAATGGGCTGAAATCACACTGTAGCGCACCAAAAGTAAGTAACTATCATCCTGCGTACACACCCACAAATGCAAAGGCACACACAGGGGATGGATGTATATGCAAACGACATTGCATTACACATTATACATTGCCGTAAACGTCAAAGCGGGAGCAACAATTCCATGCCCATCAATTACAGTTTATTCTAAAGTGATGAGCTTTCAAAGCAATTCAAATGTCGCCTATTGATAATTTTGCGTACTGTCATTTTTCACCATTATATAAGCGCACGCAGTTTTGAGGCCCAACACATTTGCTATCTATTGACTCTACACTACTTTATTTTTTACAAGAAATTGGGGATTCAATTGTGTGTGTGCAATAAATTAATTTTAGGGTATTTTTTCCTGAAAATATAGATTTGATAACAATTGCACACATATTAAAAAATACAACTACCAAAGATTATTTCTACAAGACCTATGCTTTTAGAAAATACAGAATGTTAATGGGGATTCAAGTAATTACATAAAATGCAGATTTTAATGTGTGTGAAAAATTTAAAAAATGCTCTAGAGTGAAGCGGTTATTGAAGTGATCTAAAAAAAAAAACGGAGGAATGAAGGCCTGATGCATATTAGTGCAAGGTCCACTTTAACCACTTCCAGACCGGACACTTTCACCCCCTTCCTGTCCAGGGCAATTTTCAGCTTTCAGCACTGTCACACTTTAAATGACAATTGCACGGTCATGCAACACTGTACCCAAATGAATTTTTTACCATTTTTTTGAGACAGATAAAGCTTTATTTTGGTGGTATTTATTCACCACTGGGATTTTTATTTTTTTTGCTATGTATATGAAAATGTCCAAAAATTTTGAAAAAGTTTTTTTTATAACATTTTGCAAATAAATAATATTTCATCATAATCTTTGCCAAAATTTATTCCGTTATCTTTTTAGTAAAAAAAATAAAAACCAAATTAGTTTATAACCAAAAATTATAATTTTTTAAACTTTTTTTTTACATTTTTATTTTTTTTTATATTATTTTTTATTTATTTTTTTTTTTTTACATACTGTCACCCTAGCAGTACAGTGTCACCATGGTGACACTGTACTACTTGTGAGGGGGGGGGGGGTTGAAGACATTTTTTTTTTTTTTTTTTTACACCGATTTTTTCACCCATATAGGATGTAAAAGCAATCATTCCTCCTTCTCTCTAGCTGCATTCTTGCACTCATTGAGAAGTACTGAGTGAGCTGTGATTGGTCACAGCTTGTCACATGGTACAAGGCTGTTGTGAATAGCCTTGTACCATGTGACCTCTGTGATCATTCACAGATTTCACACGTAGTAAGCAATGATGTCACAAGTGACATCTTGCTTACTACTTTGCATGTGATCACTGATTGGCCAAATCAGTGATCACATGATCGGGACCTCGTACAGAGGTCCCGTCCGACGATCGGTGTTTCACTGTATCCGGAGGACACAGCAGGCACCGGATCGCGGTGCTGCGCGCTCCGAGGGAGCGCGCACAAGCAGGGTGCGGGGAGGCCGTTTATAAACGGCCACCCGACCCTGCACTGCCACCGTCCGGCCGTTTATATGCAACGGCCGCTCGGGAAGTGGTTAAGGGTCAGTTCACACCAGGAATCACACAGGGATGAGCATGTTCCTTCGCAATTTGAGCAGTGCATTTGCAGGCCAATCATTTGAATGGGCTGAAATCACACTGTAGCGCACCAATAGTGCATGCACTACTTTTAAAAACACACTGCGACCGTATCACATGGTACTTTGGTATCATGTGATCTGGTTCAGGCAAATGCACTGCGTTTGCAATCTGCTTTTGGGGTGTCATTAATTTTACATGGACATCCACTGCAGATCGCAGACACAGCGCATTTTGAACGCGGTATAGAACACCACGCACAGAGCGCAGGCATCCTGAACCGCAGTGCACTGCGAACCAGAACTAAAGAGATATGCCCCTCCCTCCTAGATTGTAAGCTCCAAGGATCAGGGCCCTCCTATCCCTCTTGTATTGAACTGTATTGTTTCTGTACTGTCTCCCGTTATATTGTAAAGCGCTGAGCAAACTGTTGGCGCTATATAAATCCTGTATAATAATAATGTTACTTATCTGTATCAATGTAATACAACCAATAAAATGTAAACAAAGTAACATAATAGGTTTGTCGTACCTCTGGAGACTTCTCCTGTGATGACACATTTCGGGGCAGATTGTATGAAAGGTGCTATATTCATACCTGCTTTTACATCCACCGACACACAGTAATTTGTATTTGGCCGCAGATTTAAGGTAACCGTAGCATTCAGACTGCTCAGTTTTTTCATGTGCAAACTCTAATAAGGAACAGAGCACAACAATGTTAGAAACGACTCAATAGTATTGCGGTAAAAAAAAAAAGTAATGTTATCATTAGTGTTCAAAGCCGAGTCCTGCACAGTTGTAGAGGTTCCTCTCCTGGACTGAAATGGCTTATTCTGATTTTACTGCACACTGTGAGCTCCTCAGCAAGTCCGAGAGAGCCTGTCTTATTCTTATTTCTGGCCTGGAGAACATCTTGCATCATCTAGCCCTGCCATTTCTGGGCTGACCCTTTCATTCACGGAATTTCAGTTCTTTCAATCATGGAGGCTCAGCATCACATATGGGCAATACCTAAGGCGATCCACATGCAAATACAGTCTGCTTAGGATTGCCCATTCCTCCAGACTGACATCCTCTAATAAAGGCATTTTGATATTTGCATAACTTCTTTCAAAAGCCAGGCCACTGCTTGTATCAGGGTTAAGGCTTTTAAAAGGAGTATTGAGATGGTATTGTGGTGTTTTCAGGAAGCCATGCACAGCATGCTTCTGACACCTTCTATCAGCCATTGCATAGAGAAATGGAGGAGCCAGGCAGTCAAGTGAAACTGAGTGATAATCAACCTGAACTCAGGACACACTGATTTGTGCACACCCAAGAGTTAAAAAAAAACTAAAAAACATGATAGGCTGCTGCTTCTATAAGATATAACCTTCTCAGATAGACAACACGCATATGAGAAGTGCTGGCCAAATAAATAATGAACTGACATAAACCGTAAACCTAAATGCAATAAACTGATAATAGTCCTTAATGTGAAATCAATACGTGCAGATGCTCCTTTCACAACCAATAAGTGATGGGTGCTCTGTGCTCCCCGCCTGAGTGCCCCCCTAACTCACCAACTGTAATGGACTCCTATGGTGAGGTAAGAGTCATTATTATTATTATTATTATAATACAGTATTTATAAAGCGCCAATAGTTTGCTCAGCGCTGTACATTACAAAGGGGGACAGAACATGTGACAGAACAATAACAATACAATGCAAAACATGAGGGGTTCGAGGGCCCTGCTCTTTCGAGCTTACAATCTAGGAGGGAGGGGATGGTGGTACAGGAGGAGATAGCTGTGGGGGATGGAGTGGTAGGAAGGATGGAGGAGGTCGGCAAGTTAGCAGGGGGTGGGGTAGGCTTCCCTGAAGAGGTGGGTTTTCAGGGTGCGCCTAAAGGAGAGGAGAGTAGGTGATAATCTGATGGGTTGGGGCAGGGAGTTCCAGAGGATGGGTGACACCCTGGAGAAGTCCTGGAGGCGGGCATGGGAGGGGGAGACCAGGGAACTAGAGAGAAGGAGGTCCTGTGAGGAGCGGAGTGTGCGTGCTGGGCGGTACTTGGATATTAGGTCAGTGATGTAGTTCGGGGCAGTATGGTGGACAGCTTTGTACGTCAGCGTTAGGATTTTGAATTTGATCCGTTGCGCAATCGGAAGCCAGTGGAGGGAATGGCAGAGGGGGGTGGCGGAGATGGAGCGGTTGGAACGGTGAATGAGTCTGGCAGCCGTATTCAGGATGGACTGAAGCGGGGATAGCCAGCGGTGAGGCAGGCCAGTGAGGAGGGAGTTGCAGTAGTCGAGTCGTGATATGATGAGGGAGTGGATGAGCTGTTTAGTGGTTTCTGGGGTTAGGAATGTGCGTATTTTGGCGATGTTGCGGAGGTGGAGTCTACACGAGTTTGTTAAAGATTGCACTTGGGGCTGGGTCATTCACGCTTTGGTGGGGAATGCAGAGTTATGCTGGATCTTGTAGTCCTCCTGATTTATAAGATGCTAGTCATCCTCAGTAATCCTGATATGGTGCCGATAAATGGTTACTACAAATAATAAGCAATGGAGAGAGGCATCCAAATTGTGTAAATAAAATAGGACAATGTGCGCTATCATACAAAAATGTGAAAACCTATTGATTGAGCTGCTGCAATAACACTTTAAAGTGATCCCGCACTCCAATCATAATCATATGGCGATAGTGTTGCGCGAACTCATAATATAAATATAATACCAAAAATCAATATAATAAACAAAAATCCTTTTAAGATTGTGACAGTTCAATCAAAATATAAATAGTGCTTTTAAAGTGCAGTTGGTGAGTTAGGGGCACTCAGACGGGGAGCAAAGAGCACGCATCACTTATTGGTTGTGAAAGGAGCATCTGCACTTACTGGATTTCAAATTAAGCCCCCGATCACATCAAAGACAATTTTGAAATCATGCGACTTACAGTGAAGTTGCACGATTTCAAAATCGGGTGACCTGCTGATGCAATTTGCAAGACATCTGACACAGATGTCTATGCAAATTGCAACAAAAGTAGTGCATGCAGTACATTAGAAATCGGTGTGGCTCTGACCAAGTTGGAACCGCACCAATATGACTGCTCTAATAGCGGACAATAGGGTGCGACTTGGCATGCGATTTGCAAGTCGCAAATGGCATGCCAAATTGCACCCAATGTGACCGGGGGGTAAGGACTTTAATTCCACATTAAGGACTATTATCAGTTTATTGTATTTAAGTTTACGGTTTATTTTTCATCGTTTATTTGGGCAGCGCTTCTCATATGCACGTTGTGTTGTCTAGTCAAGTGAAACTGTTACCGTGTCCTGAATGGTCAAATAAAAAGTTTTTAAACTGAACTGAAATCAAAGTGAAAAACACCTAATAAAAACAAGACCACTGTAAGCAACTGAAAGCACCAGAATAGCTGAGAATTTTCCACTAAAGCATTTCTTGGAACAAAGGGTCCAGGTCCGAGGTTCCCTGGATAGTGGTCCTGCTGAAACATTCTTGAAATTCTGAAGCACAGAAGGAGCCATGTGGTTTGGAAAGCAGTATTCCGGCATTTCCAAGCAGACCAAACCTTCCTGGCCCTGAGCAAGAGAAGCAATTTCCCTCAAAACAAGTTTACTGCCATAATAAAATGTTTTAGTCATGTTCTGACACCCTGCTCCTTCCTAACAACCAGCCACTAGCAATCCCCTTTGGATTACTCCCAGAAGAAGCAGCCAAAATACTACCATTACAAAGTAAAACTGTTTTCTATTTATCTGCCCCCCACCCTCCTCTGTGTGAAGAAGAGAGGGGAGAACAGATCCAGCGCTGCGCACGGCTGCATCTATTCTTCCCTCTCTTCCTCTTCACGCAGCACTCCAGCAGTAGTAGAATCCATTGGCTCCTGCTGCTGTCAATCAAATGCAGTGAGGATAAAGAGCATCTTGCTATGGGGGACACACGAAGAAGAGGAGGAGGAGCCAGGAACACTGCCAGGGACCCGAGAAGAGAGATTGGGGCCACTCCACAATACCACTGCACAGAGAAAGTGAGTATAACATGTTTGTTATTTTTTTTAAATTTGACTTTAGTAACGCTTTAAGGTAGTTGTTCAGTAAATCTACGGCTCAACTGTATATTTTTTACACCCCATCTTCTCCCCCACAGTGTTTAAAAAAAAAAAAAAAAGAAAAAAGGGAAGTCAAAATTCTTTTGTTCTATTTTCAATTTTGCACTTACAGTATTATATATATTTAAATAACATTCTCCTGACCTCTGCTGAGTCTCCAAAATGGATGGTGTACTCCAGATACGGATAGACCGCATCATTGACCATGGTAATATTGCGCTGCTCTGTTTCATCCCATAAATGAGAGATTGGAGGATGGATAGACACGTTAATACAATGATCACAGGGAACCACATTCACTAAAACTGGGCCTAAAAAGGCTGGAAAGACAACAAAAAGGAGAAAATTACTTAGCAAGAAAACAGTGCAATTGTGCTAAACTCAGAAAATCAAATCTATCCACCTTCAACATGTCAGAATATATACAAATTGTAAAATACACAAAACCAACTTTATTTAAAGTATCTTTAGGCAAAACAATCTTTTAGTTTTAGATGTAAAAAAATGGGACTCAGCGAGCGCTTAAATAATAAAAGCAGCTAGTACACTAAAAAGGAAACCGTAAACCTTCTAAATAACAAATAGGAAAACATTGTGCAGCGCAAAAATGAATATATAATAAATAAATGTAAATACCAAGGATGTATAAAGTGCTAAATATCTGAATGACAGCGCTGGTATTAATGAATATATCAAAGTGCTAAAAGATGCCCAAATAAAGTGCTTATCAAACTAAAAATATGATGTCATAATGGATGATATATAATTAATAAATCATGAGCATCCAAATAAAAGTTCCAATAAATATCAGTAATCCAGATAAGTGAATCTTGTACCAGGGGCGGACTGACAACTCATGGGGCCCCCGGGCAATAGGGGAATGTGGGGCCCCTGTGTCCTTGACCAAACTCAAAAACGCCTATGAAAAAGGTACCAGGGGCATCTCATGGGGCCCCCTACTAACCCTGGGCCTTCGGGCAGTGCCCGAGTTTCCAAATGGTCAGTCCGCCCCTGCTTGTATCCCAGTAGTAAACAGATAATTCGTTGACGTGCGGGGGTATAGAAAAAAATGCACACTCACCAGATGCGCATTTTAAGTGCACAGTATGTAATTAAGTAATAAACAGCCAGAGGTCCCCTCTACGGTAGGATGGAATACAGCCTGGGATGGAAAACCTCCTCTGTAGCTTTGGGCGGTAAGAGGTCAGCCAGAGGTCCCCTTAAAGGTGAGCTGCAATATGGTCCGATGTGGATCTCCCTCCTCTGGCTACTGGGATGGTCACCTGGGTTCCTTCTGTCTGATGTGTAGTGATCGGTGTCTCCTTTGAGTAAGAAACTACTTCTCGAGGTAGGAAATCCACCTGGGTGATCTTAGAAACTCCAAGTTTAATAAGTCTTCTTCTGGGGTTTAATTACTAAAGCTGCAGAAGTGCACGAGATTCTGAGTGAACCAGCTTTAGTAATTAAAGGAGACGCATACGTTGGATTACTGATATTTATGGAACTTTTATTTGGATGCTCATGATTTATTAATTATATATCATCCATTATGACATCATATTTTTAGGTTGATAAGCACTTTATTTGGGCATCTTTTAGCACTTTGATATATTCATTAATACCAGCGCTGTCATTCTGATATTTAAGCCCTTTATACATTCTTGGTATTTACATTTATTTATTTTATATATCCATTTTAGCGCTGCACAATTTTTTCCTATTTAGTTTTAGATGGAATGGAGAACGTTGAACCCTCATTTTTGGGGGGAATTTACACCCCTCTATTTGTGGCAGTAAACACTGTCACGTAGAATAAAAAAGTTAGGAAAAAACAACCTATAAGGCCCCTTCCACACAGGTGGACTCCGCCAATCAGACCCACCTGCACAGCGAAGGATCTGTTTGCTTATCCCCGCTTAGCAGGCGGGTGACAAGTCCGTGTCCGCTCCGCTTGTGCACAGCAGACATGGACACAGCCCACCATTCTCTATGGGGCAGTCGGATGTAAATGGACCGCTTGTCCGTTTACCGCTGATGGCCATCCGATTTGATTGGCTGAATAGATGGGGAACGGATCCCCCATCTGTCTGTTTTCAGTTGATTGGAAGCAGGCAATTGTAAACTGACACATCTTTTTAAATCCACCTCCCCATAGAGAACAATGGATGGTCCGATTAGTCCGCCGCGTGTGAACGTTTTTTCTTAGTTTTTGTTATGAAATTTTGTAAATAAGTGATTTCTCTCCTTCACTGATGTGCGCTAATGAGGATGCACTGATGGGCACTGATAGGTTGCACTGATGAGGAGGCACAGGTAGGTGGCACTGATGGGCATTGACAGGCATCACTGATGGGCACTGAAAGGTAGCACTGATACATGGCACTGCTAGGCAGCACTGATAGGCGGCACTGATTGGCATTAATAGGTGGCACTGACTGGCACTGATAAGTGACACTGAAAGGCAGCTCAGATGGTCACTGATATGTGGCATTGATGTGCACTGGTAGGCACTGAGATGTGGCACTGATGAGCACTGACACACTGCACAGGACACTGACACACTGCTGGGGCTACACTGATGATTAGGGCACACTGATGATCAGTGTACATGTCCCCTCCGTGGAAAGCCGCTTACCGGCTCTCCTCCCCTCTCGAGCTGTCAGCGTGACAGCTCGAGAGGAGTGAAATGCTGATAACCGGCATTTCCCTGTTTACATGCGATCAGCTGTGATTGGACACAGCTGATCATATGACCGAGCCAACATCTTCAGCTCTTTCTGTGATCGGTGATCCGCTGTGTCCGGGGGACACAACGCACCGCTGAACACCGTGCATGCGTAGTGAGAATGGGAGGACGTTATATGACGTCCTCCCAGAACGAGAACCACCTTGCGCCCATCATTACCTTATATGGCGGGCAGGAGGTGGTTAAAGGATAACTTTGTATGTAATAATCTCCATTTCACGCCAAAAGAATTTAATACAAACCTCAGACACAAACGTCTGTAGTGTCTCAGAGCTCTGGCCTGTACAGAATTTTCATCTTTCTAGGATTCAGCGGCCTCTGGAATACAGTTCAATATGCTGGCCATAGAAAATGACTACCTGTCCATCTTCGCTCCACAGTCTCTACACTGTTATGTACAGCACAACTGTTGCCTAGGCTCACTCACTTCTCATATCATATCTCCGCCTTCCAATCTGTAAGGTTGTAAACGGTTTTAGGAAATGGTCTTTCTAAAGCTTAATGCGGAGTTCCACTCACCTGTCAAAAGATAAAAGTCAGCAGCTACAAAAACTGTAGCTGCTGACTCTTAAAAAACAGCCACTTACCTGTCCCTCGGTCCCGGTGGTGTGTCCCCCGCAGCCCGGTTCACCAGCCGTCCTGGATTCCAGGAGGCCGGCATCTTCACTGTTGGCACCTGGCTGTGATAGCTTGTGGCTTCACAGCCGGGTACCCACTGCGCATACGCTTCATGAATGGTTCTGTAGTCTTCTGTGACCTGTCACGTGTCCCAAAAGACTACAGGAAGGAAGGGAGGGAGGACGCCTAGGCGATCGGACCGGAAATGGGAGCAGGTACCTGTCAAATTCGGGTACCTGCTCCCCCCCTGCCCCCCAAAGGTGCCAATCCTTAATGCGGGGGAGCAGTCCTTAAAGCGGAACTTCTCCTTTTGGGTGGAGCTCCGTTTTAATGTATTTGTGTTGGTTGTACTATAGCCCAAACATGGGTGACTGTTTGCACCGCAAAAGTCGCCCGCAGAATCATGGAGCTGAACAGTGTCCTACCAGATGCTGTCACTGGGTATTCAGGCAGCTGTGGAGGCTGGCTGTCTACAGACACCAAACAGGGTAGATTCCTCCATCCATGCATGAGAGAAATCTAAACATACAGTTGCAAGAAAAAGTATGTGAACCCCTTGGATTACATGGAGTTTTGCATGAATTGGGCATAAAATGTGCTCTGAATGTCATCTAAGTCACAACAATAGAAGAACACAGTCTGCTGAACATAATACTACACAAACATTAGATGTTGCCATGGTTTTAATTGCACATAACATGTAAACATTCACAGTGCAGGGAGGAAAAAGTATGTGAACCTTTGGACTTAATAACTGGTTGACCCTCCTTTGGCAGCAATAACCTCAACCAAACGTTCCCTGTAGTTACAGATCAGACCTGCACAACGATCTGGAGTCATTTTGGACCACTCCTCCTCACAAAACTGTTTCAGTGTAGCAATATTCTTGGGATGTCTGGTGTGAATCGCTCTCTTAAGGTCATGCCACAGCATTTCAATCGGGGGTGGAGGTCAGGACTCTGACTGGGCCACTCCAGAAGGCATATTCTGTGCTGTTGCAGCCATTGTTTTGTTGAATTACTTGTATGCTTTGGGTCATTGTCCTGTTGCATCACCCATCCTCTGCGGAGCTTCAGTTGGTGGACAGATGGTTGTACGTTTTCATGCAAAATGTCTTGATAAACTCTGGAATTCATTTTCCCATCAATGACAACAATCCGTCCAGGCCCTGAGGCAGCAAAGCAGCCCCAAACCATGATGCTCCCTCCGCCATGTTTCACAGTGGGGATGAGGTTTTGATATTGGTGTGCTGTGCCTTTTTTTCTCCACACATAGTGTTGTGTGTTCTTCCCAAACAACTCAATCTTGGTTTCATCGGTTTCATATATTTTGCCAGTAGTGCTGTGGAACATCCAGGTGCTCTTTTGCAAACTTCAAACGTGCTTCAATATTCTTTTTGGACAGCAATGGCTTCCTCCGTGGTGTCCTCCCATGTACTCTATTCTTGTTTAATGTTTTCCTTATTGTAGATGTGTCAACAAAAATGTTAGCATGTGCCAGAGATTTCTGTAGGTCTTTAGCTGACACTCTGGGATTCTTCTTTACCTCATGCAGCATTCTGCGCTGTGCTCTTGCAGTCATTTTTACAGGACGACCATGCCTAGGGAGAGTAGCAACAGTGCTAAACTTTCTCTATTTGTAGACAGTCTGTCTTACCGTGGACACATGAACATCAAGGCTTTTGGAGATACTTTTGTAACCCTTTCCAGCTTCATGCAAGTCAACAATTCTTGATGGTAGGTCATCTGAGAGCTCTTTCTGCGAGGCATGGTTCACATCAGACAATGCTTCTTGAAACCAGTAAACCCAAAACAGGTGTGTGTTTTTTTAAGGGCAGGACAGCTGTCGGCAACACATCCAATATCATCACACTGATTGGAGTCAAGGTTGGCTCACTCCTGGCTCCAATTAGCTCTGGGAGAAGTCATTAAGCTAGGGCCTCACATACTTTTTCCTCCCTGCATTGTGAATGTTTACATATTATGTGCAATTAAACCATGGCAACATCTAATGTTTGTGTAGTATTATGTTCAGCAGACTGTGTTCTTCTATTGTTGTGACTTAGATGACGTTCAGAGCACATTTTATGCCCAATTCATGAAAAACTCAACGTAATCCCAAGGGGTTCACATACTTTTTCTTGCAACTGTATATGGCTAGCAGTCGTATCCTGGCCATCAACAGAAAATATTGACCACTTGTTTCATGTGATTTCTCCCCCCCCCAAAAAATTGGATTTTTGACATACATGTAAAGTCCATTTCTTGGAGTATATCACAGTACACATCAGCTTTAGCAATCCTTACTAGCAGGGTTCTGTGTCATCCACAAGTGGGTGGACACTGGCAAAAAAATAAAAGACTGGAAGTCCCCTCCTAGGCATAGCCCCTCCCTTATAGGAGAGACTTCAGTCTTGTAACCAGTCATATACCACAACACAGAGGGGAGGGATCTCTGTGCCCCATGATTTACTCCAATAAATGGATTTTAAAGGCAAATCAAAAATCCAATGTGCCTGCAAACGCCCCACCAAATGCACACGTGAGGGCATCCTTCATTTTTTTTTCCTACAAAACTGGGCCTGAGATTCCGACTTTGAAGCTGGGCCAGGGGGTGGCCAAAAGAAAGTCTTGAGAAAGAAAAAGTGAAAGGAGCACCAAGTCTGAGAGGTCCGCCTGTCCTTCTTTCAAAGTGGTAAAAGAGAACTCTTCCTGCACAAGATTTTGTGGCTATACTTATCCAGGTAAGGTCTAAAACTTTCTTCATGAAATGGGAAACTCGCCAATAGCTTCTTGCAGAGAGTCTCTGCAGAGCAATTTTATTAATCGAAAAAAATCCTGTGCACATGCACTAACAGAAGGTCCAAAATGGAAATCTGCTGAATGGAATCCTTCAAGGCATCCATTGCAAAACACAGGGCAGGAGGGAAATCCGCATGGAACTCACTCAGATCAGCATCTCCATTAGAGGGTCCAACCCTCTGGACAGATGCTTCGCCCCAACCTTAAGACTTTGGCAGCCTCAAACGGCTGCAACTGCTCACTGGTGTGCTACATCCATCAAGGCATAAGACGCTTTTAACAAGGATTCCACACACTTGGCAGTAGCATCCTTAAAAATGAGGATGTCATCCATTTGTCCATGTGAGGTTCTTGTTGAGGCGACAGACTGAAGGCATGCTCTATTTCTTAGTATGAGAGGTGTTCATGTCAAACTGGGACTTTTGAGTTTATATAATAAAAAGAACAAATTTCAAGGAGTGGAAACTACATTTATTTTTCAACATTCTCCCCTGCTACATTTATACACTTATCCCAGCGTTTAACTAATGCCTGGAAAGCTTCGGCATAGAAAGATCTGTCAGTAAGCCTGAACCATCCTAGGACAGTCGGCTTCACTCCGTCATCGTGGTCACCGTTCCCACAGAAAGATTAGTCTCGTGTAATTCCACGATAGATTGTGTGTCGATTATACAGGATCAGGTGTTCCATGCGCTGAATGTTCACAGGAATGACTGCGGAGGGCTGGGAACCACCATGCCTCTGATCGTCACTGACAGATGTACAGCCATCTTTGAAACATTTACACCATTCAAATGTCTGTGACTGAAGCCTCATCCTGTACTGTGCTTGAAGTCTTCTGTAGATATCCTCATGTTTTATGCCTTTGTTCACAAGAAACTTCATCACCACACATTGTTCCATGCACAATCTAACACTGTTGTCTGCCAACTTGATTAACGGTCTCTGGATTGGCCCATGACATGTGCACCGCCTATCAGTAGTAGGACACACTTTCCACTACTACTGTGTGTAGTACCGGTAGCATCCTTTTTATACCTGTAAAATTAAAATTCCCGGTTTGACTTGAACGCCCTTTGTAAACTCTTCACTATTGCAGAGCAAATCTCTACAGCCAAGTGAATAGCTTGCTGGTAGGAGCCCAATCCGCATACAAAAAAATCTTTACAGTGAAGATGTAAAGGTTCTTATGACAATGGACATCTTGATCCAAAAGGCTTAAACTTCTGAGAAGACGACTCTGGAAGCCAAAGCTCCAAGTCCATGCACACGTCTGTGAGGAACTCAGGCATGCCATAGTTTCCTTCTGCCACAAGTTCCTTCTCCATTAATGGAGAGGGGGAAGGCAAGTGAGAAGGTCTGCAACCCTGGCAGCACAAACCAGACAAAATGCTAGAAAGTTGTTGCAGCCTCCCCACTAGCCCAAGCAACAAGTCCTCCTTTGTCATGTAAGAACTAGAGGAAGGTGTTTCAGAGGTAGCAAAAGCAGCAAACATTGGGCGTCAGAGCAGCAAGGAGCAGATAGGCCCCCCACCTGGGGGGAGGAGGGCCTACATCCAGATTCTTCCACACCCAACAGCAGTATTCAGGGCCCATTCCTCCCTTTGTCCCCTCCTCTCTGCCGTCTTGTAGACATATAGCGTACAGACATTCTAAGCTGTGACCATTATGAAGTAGCAATCCCTAGTCAGATGAGAGGGCACAGTGCTACTGCACCAGTGTGCCGAATACCCATGGAGAGGATTTTACTATCAGCCACTGCCCCTTTGCCCCCCACCCAGTGCAGGTAATGCTCATGTGGCTCTGGTAAGGAAGTGTCCAGCTCTGGTGTAGCACTGCCATTGCTGTAGGAGACATCCAGAACCTCTGCTGCAGCTACAAGTAATTCTATATTGTTGTCACAACCACAATGCTGCTAGATGCCTCTGTCCACCATGAGGTTATGGAGATGATGGTTGCCACCAGCTGACATCACCCCCAAGTAACATCACACAGATGGCTAGTCTAGGAGAACAGGGGGCAGGAAATACGTCTCCAGAATGCAAACGTCTCACAGCAAATTGTCCAGGTGCCCCAGAACAGAAACCCTTTCAGTGTAACTCGCCGCACAGCTCTCAGGTGGGCAGGGAACAGAACGGGAGGATGTATCTGAACATCCACACAGGGGAATAGGCAAGATCGTTCGTGACACTGATCTCTCTCCCACACTGCTCTCTGTAGATCAAGTAAGCACCAACAACACACTACACCTCCCGGTCACGGCGCTGTGTCAGCCACATGAGCTGTGTGTGGAGGGAGAAGGGGCAGGGAGGGCTCTGGCTACAGAGTAAACATTACAGGCCATCACTGCGTCGTGTCCATTCTTCCACTGGTGCGGGGTCTGGGTACCATTCTTCTGAGCAGGGTAGCTGTAGGAATGGATTCCGATAGTCCAGTCTCCTGATCCCTGTTGGAATTATTGAGAATCTGCAGACAGCTGCACAACTGTGACCATCACTTTCAGACACACATATTATTATACTGGATTTATATAGCGCCAACGGTTTGCTCAGCGCTTTACGTTATAGTGGGAGGCAATACAGTCACAATACAGTTCAATACAAGAGGGATTTGAAGGCCCTGCTCCTTGGAGCTTACAATCTAGGAGGGAGGGGTGAATGGTACAATAGGTAATAACTGTGGGGGATGGAGTGGTTGGAAGAGTAGAGGATTCCAGTATTAGAAAGAGGGCGGGATAGGCTTCCCTGAAGAGACAGGTTTTCAGCGATCACCTAAAAGTAAGTAGAGTAGGCGATAGTCTGATAGATTGGGTTAGGGAGTTCCAGAGGATGGGTGATGCCCTGGAGAAGTCCTGGGAGGAGTAGATATGGGAGCTAGAGAGTAGGAGGTCTTGCGAGGAGCGGAGAGGATGGTTTGGGTGATATTTAGAGACAAGATTGGTTATGTAAGTTGGGGCAGTGTTGTTGACGGCTTTATATGTCATTGTTAGCGTTTTGAATTTTATCCGTTGGGCAACTGTGAGCCAGTGGAGGGATTGGCAGAGAGGGGTGGCAGATACAGAACGGTTAGCAAGGTGGATGAGTCTGGCAGCAGCGTTCATGATAGACTGGAGTGGGGGTAGCCTGTGATGAGGTAGGCCAATGAGGAGGGGGTTACAATAGTCGAGGCGTGATATGACAAGGGAGGGAATAAGTTGCTTAGTGGTTCCGGGGTTAGGAACGGGCGTATTTTGGAGATGTAAACGTACATCTCTTCTACAAGGGAGGGGTTATGACTAAGGAGAGGCTTGCTGACTCTTTTTGCCAGTGTCCAACCACCTGTGGATGGTGCATAACCCTGCTAGTAAGGATTACTAAAGTTACTCTGTGTCCTGAGCTGTTCCTATAAAAAAAGGATTCTTTTCAGATACTGCTAAAGATGTTGATGCTACAATATTAAAATACACCGGTCACACATACACACTAGTGAGTCCAAAGCGGCTGCCAAGAATACTTACTTTCTGTAAGCGGGCAAAAACCTTTAGCTGTGGCTCCAAGGGAGACTTCGTGATCTGTGAAACTATGGACTATTGGGATATAGGTGGACAGAACATCTATGAAGTCCTTGGTCAAGTCACAGTACCGGCTTGTGATATTGCGGCAGCTTTTGCTAGCGACAACTGAACGACTAGAAAAGTACAAACGAGAGACCTAACATTAAACCAATAGAGTGCAAAAAAAAATTCTATCATGAATAAATAAAACACTACATTACCAATCATAAATATGGCATGTGGAAATAAAAACCAAAAACATCACAACTATGCATTAGTGTCAATTCCTACCACCAACCATAAACAATAAAAACACAATGTTCTAGAAGTATTTTGGGAAGTCACATGTGAGAAAAACAGTCCTTTTTCAGCATTATTCACTCCTCAACCTTTCAGTACAAAATGCTTCCAAATATATTCACTCCTGTGCAAATTCATCCTTAACCCCCTTGGCACCGGCGCCTCCCAGCCCTTTAAGGGTTTCAGAAGTCGGGAGGCGGGGTTTAGAGTCATGTGACCGCCGTGACGTCATGTCACATGATCGGGCAAGGTCCAGATTGAAAGAGATCGGGACCTTTCTGTGAGTACCAGATGTGTGCTGGGAGCGTGCAGGCCGCACATTTCCATTCGGTTAAAGTAGTTGTAAACCCTTACATCTACCTAGTGAAGTGACTGGCCTCAGGTGATACACAGGGATAAAAAAAAAAAAAATCTCCTATACAATTGTACCTGTTTATCTGCAGCCCTATCTCCTCTACATCGGTCCAGAATTCACACAGCATTTCTGAGCTTCAGAAAGCTGGGGGCGGGGGTCTGATGTCACACACTGCACAGCATAGTGCAGGCAGCTGCCTGTAATCTGAGACCTGAGTGAAGAAAATGGACACCCCCTTCTACACAAAAAAGGTACACAGTTGAGGCTGTCAATCACCTGCTGTGTGCTGGAGAGCTTTCTCCCGGGATTGCTTGGTGTCCGCAGACTATCAGAAGTGACATTGTCTCCTCTTGTTCCTCCTGCTTTTTGCTTCGGATACAGGCAAGTACACACTACAGCAGGATAGGCTTTGTTCATTTTTCATTTCAGAGTTTTACAACCACTTTAGGTGACAGGGGGGTCAATTCACTAAGAGTTAAATAAATGCAGTAAAATAACACATGCGATAGATCTTTTGCAAATGTGCAATTCACTAAGGATTTTGTGGTAAATAACGCATGCTGTAAAATATTGTTATTTTGGTAATTATCGCATATTTTCATGCAGTAACGTGTTGCACAGTAGCTGGTTGTTAAGGAAGCCGGTCGCAGAGCCATTAACAACAGATGACTCATCAGCTTTTTTTTTTTGTGGGGCTTCCCCTTATGATTTATACCAGACCCAAAGGCCTTTTTTTTTTTTTTTAAATTAATTTATAATTGCCGACAATTCTTGTTTTTTGCATTCAGCTGTCATCGGGAAACTAGCAATGGCGGCGATCAGCGACTTGTAGCGGGACTGTGGCGGACATTCTGAAACTGGGGGGAACTGACTTGGTGTCACTGACATCCTCAGTGACACCAATACAGTGATCAGTGTTAAAAAAAAAAAAAAAAAAAAAAAAAAAAAAAAAAAAAAAAAAAAAAAAGCACTGACACTGTACTAATGGCACTGGGCAGGAAGGGGTTAACATGAGGGGTGATCAAAGGGTTAACTATGTGCAAGGAGTGTTTTACTAGGGGGCGTGTGTTGGTGCTTCACTGTAAGCACACTGCTCTGGATGGCTGTGCACAGCCATCCAGAGCAGTGTGCCTGAGCCTACAGGGAGGAGGACTGTTGGTTCCTCCCAATCAGTGATCATCAGAAATCACCGGGCGCCGGTGGGTAATTACCGACCGGGACCCAGTGATTGACAGCCATGATTTTGTGCAACCGTGCCGCCCTGTAGCAGTATTTCTGCTATAGGGCAGTTGGGAAGCGGTTAACAACCAGCTCTGAAAAAATACTGCATGTGATACCGCCAGCAAAACCCTGGTGGTAAATGCTGCATCTTTTTTTACTCTTGGTTCCGTTTGTAAATTGGACTTAACAGCTTACCGCATGCTTTTTTGTGGTATTTACCAGCACATGCGTTAAATAACGTACAATCTTTTTTTTTTTTTTTTAATTGGACATTTTGTTACCGCATGCGATAATTCAAGCAAAGGAGTTATGTGACATTGTTATTGCATGCGGTAACCTTCAGTGAATTGACCCCAAGGTGTTCCACCCTTCACTTTAAACTAGAATATTGCTCACCTTAAAAGATGACATTTATAATTTAAAGTGTTTCTAACACTAAAGGTTTTTACCTTAATACATTCTCAGCATTAAAAATTCTCCCACTGTCTATTCTTTCTAGAACACTAAAGGTTCAGTTCACACTTCACATGCCATGTGACTTGGGGTCTCAAAAGTCTCTATTTGTGGCAGTGTGAACTGAGCCTTACCTGACTCCTATACTGATCCAGCGCTGTGCCTGGATGCAGGTCTTCTCCTGGTTTCACAGGCTTTGCTGATACAGTGGGAGCCACGGCTCCTGCTGCGGTCAATCAAATTCAGTGAGCAGAGAGCAGGAGGCAGGGCTGAGCCACGTTATGTGTGTCCATGAATACACACAGCTCAGGAGTAAGCCTGCACATTTGCCCCATAGCAAGCTGCTCGCTATGGGTGCAGACACAGAAGAGGAGGACCCAGGAGTGCCAGCAGGAGACTGGGCTGCTCTGTGCAATACCATTGCACAGAGCAGGTAAGTAGAACATGTTTTTTTTTAAATTAAAATAACTAAGACTTTACAACCAATTTAAAGGTCAAAATGCGCTGTCCCCAATAACTGGGATTAGATACTTGACTCTGCTGCTGTTCCCTCCTCTTTGCTTTCCTGCATAAGCACTCAAAATAAAGCAAAATGGACTATAGTGTACAAATTAATGACAGCTTTGCCCTGTGCATTATGTTAATAGAATTATTCCGCCCCCAATGATGGGGCACAATTCCTCCCAATGACACCAGCGATGGGGCAATGTTTTTCCTACTGTCATTGGGATCTTTTCTACTCCCACTGGCCTCAGTCCAGCTCTGCAAAAGTCTGAAGGACAATAAACTGACCCTTTGTTTAGAAAGTATGGAGATCCCTGTTCTAGATCAACAGCTGCCAGTATCATATTGCAACCTTACTACAAAAACGCTGCAATACATCATTTATAATGCATCACTATAAAGGAAAAACCTTAATAGCCGTATTAAACGCTAAAAACAATATTAAAAGAGGAGTTCACTTTTGGAACATGTTCCATTGGTTTTTAGGGTGGAACATGTAACATGTTCCAGCATCTGCAGCCTCTGCTCCTCCTTCCCCTTGACAGTGCCGGGGATCCTTTCCCTGCATCCGCTGTCACTATTGGAAAACACAAGTGCTTCACTGATTCAGTTTCCCGTGAATGAATGCCTACAAATACCGTCAGCCATTGCAGCTGTCGACTTGTGGTTTTCAATGAGTTGTGAGGGTGCTGGTGAGCATCCTGGTAGTCCATTGCTCTTCCTGCTCTCAGGTAACTGCCTGCCCATAGGAGGCATGACCAGACAGCTATCCTGAGAATCTGCAGGAACATTGCACTCGTGATCTGCTGCTCAGGGGTGTAATGCTCTGTAGGCTCCATAAAAATAAAATAATAAATTCACATTTTTTTTTACCTGCAAAAAAAAAAAAAAATGTGCATTTTAAATTTATATAGTTCCTTACTTTATCCTTTAGGACATGTACACACAAGTACATATCATACATAAAAATACCTATGCCCCACTTTATATATAAGGGCGATGTATTTCACATAAATATAACCACCACAGGATGACTACATCGTTAACAGCATTTTAAAAAAAAAATATATGAATACACATATCAAAATATACATATGTACACACATCTACAAGATCACGTGTTTTAGCGTGTATACATGCAAACCAAATTACCCCAATAACCTGTTATACATCACTGTGCACATGGCTATACATGGCTGGCACTAGAGAGGGTAGTGAGGGCAATCTTGATTTTGTCCACACTTCCTGTGACAGTTGCCTGGCTGTTAGATTGTACACTATAATGGGAAGTGATTTATTTTGTTTTCTACAATGTATACTCTAATGAATCTCATTCACCACATACATACCTATCCTCCTGATAGGTCACTTTGTAGTAGATAACCGATTCATTGTTGGGGTCATCCCAGGTCAGGATGTGCTCAAAATTTTTAGAAACGAGACTGAGGTTTGTTGGAGGCTTCAGAATAGCCGAGACTGAGACAAAGGAAGAACAAATAAAGACATAAAATGTAGTAATTGTATTTAGATAGAAACACATATTATTGCTTATCTAATGAGCTCACAATCTAATGTCCTCACCATAGTCTTGCACACATATAAGCGGCATTTCATTTGAAAGTGAGTGTGGGTAAAGTGAATGCACACAAAAGTAACCAGAACACCACTGGAGGGGACTGAAAACCGAACCCCAACGCCAAACCACCCTGCTACCTATGTCATGCATGTACCGCTATACTGCCAATCACTTCTAATGCTTCTGATTAATGGAAACTGTGAAGCAGGTTTAACCACTTCTGTAACTTTTTTTCTTTTTTACAATAAAAACAACACAGCAGGGAGGTGGACATGTATTTCTGGACCACTGTTTATAAACAGCAGTGTGACGGGCGCGGCGTCAGACCCTAGCCCTTCTCACCAAACTCGTGACTGAAGGACTAGCCAATCTAAAACCGCGATGTCACGTGCGTAACAATGCCCCACCCAGCTGCACCCTGCACACCGATTTTCCAGCTAATTGGACCACAATCGACGTACCGGCAGCCTGAATGCGATTGTTACTGGGTCAGGTTAATTAAGCAATTAACCCTTCACACTGCCACCACCTCCTTTTTGTACAGAGAAAGAGAAAACTCAGCAATACACTAGGATGATTGGTTAACCGTCAGTATCCCGCTATCTCTACAGACCGGTTATACAGAGGGTTAAATACTCAAAGTAGCGCTCACCAGCGGCAGGGATTCGTAAGTTACATTCAGGAGCTATAGAAACAGTTCAACACTTTTAGAAAGTAAGATTTATTACCAAAAGGTCGAAAAGGTGCAGTAAAAATATTTACAGAAAGAAGATGTAACACACACACACACAAATATATATATATATATATATATATATATATATATATATATATATATATATATATATATATATATACACATATATATACATACATACACACACACGTACACACATATATATATATACACACACACACATATATACATACATACACATATATACATATACACACACACACGTACACACATACACACGCACACGTACACACACACACACACACAGAGCACAACAGCACAGCAAACAGAGAACAGTAAGAAGTTTAGGTAAATAAGTACCTGCCAAATAAATGCCTGGGGTTAAGCAGTTTCAAGTCTGATGAGCTAAAGAGGGATTTCTGGTCTCGCACTCAGTTTTGTTGGTACAGCGAGATTCCCCTTTGCTCTCGGTTTGCTAGATGGTAAAACGCTGAATGTCCTCACTTCTCTGACTACACACAAAACATAACAGCTTCTTTTCTCTACTCAAAATCAATGGGGCGTCTCTTCCCACAAGGGACAAGCCAAGCCTTATTTAGCAAAAAGAATTGTTAGGCAAGGGCTCAGCATCACACGCTGATTGCATTCCTGAGGGAGGGGGAATGAGGGGATACATGAAGACTTCTTAATACAGTGAGAGCCTGTGCCTGGCTCTTGTATGCACGACTGTGACAAGCAGGGCTTCAGAATGTCTACAGAAGGGAGGCTTTTAAAATGTAAATAACAGAATATCATAAAATGTTAGAATGTACATATGAGGCAATGGAAAGATATTTGTTGAAATTACTGGTCTGCCTACAGTTTTTTTTTTTTTTTTTAATGATGGAATGGTCAGACTACAGTGTTATACCTGAATTAAAAACATAGAAAAATAAAGTATATTTTTATGCATTTGTAAATCTTACAGAACATGGTTATTAAACAATTACCAAATTAAAGCCTTATATGCATTTAAAAACCAAAAATTAAATATATGATTTAAGCCGACCATACACAGGTTGAATTCCGAAAGAATTTTCTTTCGAAAATCTTTTTTTAAAAATTTGTAATAATTTCACATCATTAGTGGGTCACAGCTACGGCCGATTTTTGAGCAACCATCAAATTTGAGTGATCGGGCGTGTTGGAAATATTTTGAAAAACAAATGAATTTCTAATCAATGATGGGAGAATCCTGCGAGAAATGTAATCGAAAAAAGAAATGAGCATGAGCTTTGACCTGGAAAGAAAAGAAAATTCTTGGCTACAGAAATTCTTTTCTGTAGCAACAGAGGAGAAATTTAGGGCTTAGTTGGTTGAATTTCGATATCAATGGTGGCACCATCGGATTACAAAATGCACGAAAATTCCGATTTTCGAAAGAAAATTAATTTGAAATTCGACCCATGTATGGCCGGCATTAGCTTTGCAGTTACTGGTTCATTAACCTGCATTCTGGCACCGTCAAATTTGGCCTGGGCATCCAGGCATTAATGACCTCTGGGCACAATCGGATAGTTTTGCACCATAACAACCAACCAGATTCAAACCTTCAAATTAATTTTCCAACGCTTGAATGGCAGGTAGCACAGAGCTCCTACTTCTACTGTCTGACAACTGCTGATTAAAGCTGGCAATGCATTACTACCTGATTTAACAATCTCCACCAAAATATTGTATAGAATTACCCAACAACTACACAGTGTGGGGGCACTTAAAGGAATTGTAAAGGCACAAAAGAAAAAAAAAAAAAACAAAAAATGCAAAAAAAATGCAACACTTACCTGCAAGGTGCAATTGTATCGAGTGGTGGCTCACCTCCCTTTTGGGGGTCCCCCACCAGCACTGTTTCACACCTCTTCTGCCTGTGCCTTTAGCTAACCCTGTGCTATGGGGGAACACATGCAGGCTCGCCCCCAAACCAGGCTGTATGTGTCTAGACACACAAATCATGGCTCGGCCACACCCCCAGCTGCCTCCTCACAGGATTTGACTGACAGGAGGAGCCAATGGCTCCTGCTGCTGCCTGTGTGTCCTGTGAAAAGAGGAAGAAAGAGTACCACTGCAGCCCGGCACACAGCGCTGGAGTAAGGACTCTTGTGCTTGATGGAAGGGGGGGGGGGGGGGTTGATTTTGGACCCACTCACATTAAGGGCCGGGGAAAGAGGAGATCCTCATTTGGATGCCATGGTGACTACGGTGCATAGTAAGTATTCATCTCCATTAAACCCCATAGACTTAACAAGGAATATATAATGTATATGCAAAAAGTGGATAACATTTATATTGTCACATTCCCAGAGTTGGGTTTTAAATGTGGTCATCTAAAACAATAAAATTGTGAGCTGGTGCCTAATAATATTAATGTAATTATGGTGAAGCGCTACACATAAATAATAATCAGTGTATATAATACACCCACAATGCTATATATCCACATGTTTAATTGGATCACAAAAAAGGAAATAATATATATAAACAAAGCATGCATAGATAATTAGTATAACACTTGGCTGGTGCTTTTAGATCATGCTTATATTAATGGATACCTGGTGATAAAGTGCAAGCAGGTCGGTCAATAAATGACCTATATAAAATGTGCCAACAAGGGAACCCTCAATGGGGTAAGATGGATGAGAAGATAAATAGATCACACTCTTCTACAAAGTGACAAGTGCTCAGACTGCAGACACAATGAGTATATGCATCTATACAACAAAGTGGTAGATCAAAAGTCCACAATTAAGTGCAATTAAATCATTCATAAAGATTGATGTGCAAAATAGGCAGTAGTAGTGCTTCAATTTTTCACTCCAAACATTATGCGTGCTTATGTGACACGTGTGTATCAATATCCCAAAATGGCTAGAGTGCCTCCTCACCTCCTTGAGGCGACCCCTAAGGGCCACAACACATTGAACAATAAGTGCTCCACAGCACTGAGGATCACAGATAACTGGCTCCTATGGTTCCACTCAGCATCCTCTGACAGATCGCTTTTCCCCTCAGGTGATGGTCACAGCATCAGGAATATAGTAAGGCCATAGAGAGGTAGACACTCCATAGTGTAGTATGGTTTATATTTAAATAGCAGATAAGTAAGCCAAATGGACACTAACAGTTAGGCAGATACAATCCAGCGGTTTCCCATGTGCTGTGGGTGTACTGCAGGTCCCTGGGTGTCCAAAGATGGCGTCTACCGGAAATGCGTCACTGCGCTCTACGCGTTACTCCACGATACCACATGGCTTCGTCAGGATCGCCTCAAGGAGGTGAGGAGGCACTCTAGCCATTTTTGGGATAGCGATACACACGTGTCACACAAGCACGCATCATGTTGGGAGTGAAAAATTGAAGCACTACTATTGCCTATTTTGCACATCAATCTTTATGAACGATTTAATTGCACTTAATTGTGGACTTTTGATCTACCACTATGTTGTATAGATGCATATACTCCTTGTGTCTGCAATCTCAGCACTTGTCACTTTATAATAGAGTGTGATCTATTTATCTTCTCATCCATCTTACCCCATTGAGGGTTCCCTTGTTGGCACATTTTATATAGGTCATTTATTGACCGACCTGCTAGCACTTTACCACCAGGTATCCATTAATATAAGCATGATCTAAAAGCACCAGCCAAGTGTTATACTAATTATCTATGCATGCTTTTTATATATTATTTCCTTTTTTTGTGATCCAATTATACATGTGGATATATAGCATTGTAGGTGTATTGTACACACTGATTATTATTTATATGTAGCGCTTCACCATTATTACATTACTATTGTGTATCCTCAGGTATAAGGAAAAGGTGGTAGCAGCTTGCAGAATACATTTATTGTTTATATTAATACTAGTGGAGCGCAGGGGGATTATTATTTTTATTTGTGGTGCCTAATAATGTCGTGACTCCATCCAATATTTTGCACAGGCAAAGAACAAGAACATATTTAATAGGAACATATATAGGATAATTCTTATAAAATACAAATGCGGAATAATAAAGTGTTATTAAGTGTAATTGTGCATATAAGTGAATCAATAAATGTCCGTAATATATCTCAAATCAAATCAGCAAAAAATGAGCAATAATAGTCCTCAGGTTGAATTGCAATACATCCAAGTGAAAATAGTGCAGATGTGCATATATCCACG